TGCTACCTAAGGAGAACTTAACAAGTAGTCAAGGCTTCTCTTCAATCAACGTCGAATACTAGGGGTCATATCCCCCGGGAGGTCACCTCCCTGGAGAAATCAAGATGAGCCAAAGAGGGTCTCGATAGAAAAATGATGTATCGAGCCAAACGGTCAAATGAACCATGTCGCATAGAATAATCAAACCCCCAACGACGAAAACATGTATACTTGTACCAAGTAATCAAAGGAGTATCTTTTACAATCAAAACGCTTCACGCTTCAAAGAAGTTTGCTATTTTTAAGAAACGGTCCCAAGGCCAGAAATTTGCCGAACACTCGGGAACTGGCATCAAAAACTTGAAGCCGTAAGACCTCCGGGCCGAAAACTTTGAGCTCATAAGCCCTCAATGAGGAAACATCAAGTTTTCAAAGAACGGCTCCAGAGCCAAAAACATTCGACGTCTCAGGGACTGCCGCCGACTGTCACCCCATCGAGCTATCAAACTCGAGGTTATAAGACCCCAAGCGGGCAACCTCGAGCCCGAAAGCCCTCCATATGGCGATACCAAATCTGTAAGACCTCAAGCAAGGCATGAATTATACTTGTACCAAGTAACATATCTGTAAGACCTCAAGCAAGGCATGAGTTATACTTGTACCAGTAACCTATATATAAGACCTCAAGCAAGGCATGAATTATACTTGTGCCAAGTAACCTATCTATAAGACCTCGAGTAAGGGATGTTCAAATTCATAAGACCTTTCAAAAGGCATAATCCCGACCCTAAAGTCAAGGCTACATATTCGAACTTGTAAGACTCCTAAAAGGGCATACCCTCGATATAGACGCCGAGGCTACCTCACTCGGGGACTAAAAGGCTATGGCCAAACACAATGACTACGGTCATAAGGCTCCGGCCAAACTAAAGCGACTCGGGGATGCCCGACCGTCGCTATAAAATCACAGGTGCTAGCCTATATTAGAGGTCGTACCGACCCAAGGCGTAAGAGCCCGAGCGCCAGCCCATATTAGAGGTCATACCGACCCAAGGCGTAAGAGCCTGAGCGCCACCCTATATTAGAGGTCATACCGATCCAAGGCGTAAAAGCCCGAGCGCCGGCCCATATTAGAGGTCGTACTGACCCAAGGCGTAAGAGCCCAAGCGCCAACTCATATTAGAGGTCGTACCGACCCAAGGTGTAAGAGCCCAAGCGCCAGGCCATATTGGAGGTCATACCGACCCAACGCGTAAGAGCCTAAGTGCCATCCTATATTAGAGGTCGTACCGACCCGATGCGTAAGAGCCTAAGGGCCAGCTTAAAAGATCCTCAAAACCGATTAGATGTCGCACCGACCCAACACGTAAGAGCCTAAGGGCCGACTCAAATAGCCTCAGGGCAGACTTTTGGACCTGAAGGTCGACAAACTCAAGACGATACTCGATTCGGGGACTTAGCCCTAAACGGTCAACTTACGACCGTTACAAATCACTCAGCAGTAGCAGGAACCTAAGGGTTTAATTTGAGGTCCAAAATTTCAGGCCAATTGTCAACAAGTGTCACAGTTTATTCCTAAAAAAAAGGAAAAACGAGAAATGATGAAAAATGAAAGGCTTTTTACATACATATTGAAAGTTCACAAGGGTGCATTTACAAGTACTATGCCTAAAGCCCTTACAAGTGAGAGAGCAAATAAAACCCTAATCTACCACCGGGTTTGTGCCTTCGATGGCTCCCTCGGAGGTTATGCCTTCAGCAGCTCCGGCCACGGCCCCCGGGTCATCAACGGCCTCTTCCCCTTCGGGGATATTGCCTTCATCTTCATCATCTTCCGAGCCACTGCTCGACTCACCTTCAAAAATAAGCAGGGCCGCAGCCTACTCTTCCAAGGTCTTCACCCTCTTGATCTCGACGGACAAATCCACGCCCCCTGCATGTATATCCTCGAGAGCCTGCCTCAGCGATTCAACCGGGCATGCTTCACGGCTCGGGTCAATTGCAGCTTGATCGGAGCCAACCCTACACCACTATAGAGTGGCAAGTTCGGTCGATGTAGCTTTTACCCAATAAGTCGAGATCGAATCCACAAAGAGCTAAGAAAGGTTTGGAATTGGATTCCTATCTAATCTAGCAATGTGCTATGTTTTCAATTGCACTTCCAATCATTCTTGTTTGTTCACTATTCTAATTTTTATACTAATGATGCAAGTAATTAGACTAAGTATGATATTTTTGTAAGGTTTTCTTAATTGATGGAAAGGCACTAGGGAAGTAACTTACTCCTAGGTGAGTACCTAACGGGATCTAAAACTTAGGGCAAAATTGTTATAGTTGGGATTGTGATATAGCCAATGCACGAAACTACTTAGTCTATACCTTTCAGTAGTTTGAGTGACTTTGCCCTAATTGGCTTTTTCAAGCCCAATTGGGTATTCAAATTGCGCAAGCAAAATTGGCTCAAGTCGGGTATTACTATCTCTAGGTTTAACCCTTTGTTTGCAACAAATTTTCGTAAGACGAAAAATAAACTGCAACAAAAATAATATAATGAAGAAAAAGTGATTTTATTGATAAATATTTGTGAGTACAATTCTATGTATCCCTTGATTCTTCTCTCTAAAATTCTCCGTGATTCGAGGGCTCGAGAAGCGTCTTTCTCGAATGTAGGATGATGCAGACCTCCTTGTGATATATTTAACCGCCTAGAACGTCGAGCAGCACTTTGTTGTTACGGGTTGATCTCCGGGAAGAACTCCGTTGATCACTCCTTTGTTGAAGAACTAAGCACTTGATGATTGATCTCTATGTTTGTGGATGCCCTCACCAATTGCGGAGTGTTCTTCTCCAACTTTGAATGTCTTGAGAGTTATGTAACCCCCTCTATTTATAGTTGTAGAGGGTGGACAATCAAGCTACATAAGACTCTCTTGCTTGATTTTGATTGGCCCATGTCATTTCGCCACTTGGTGACTTGTGGTTGGTTCTTGCTTTTTGACTTGGATTGCCACATTATTTAACACGTGGCGTCTCCTTATTGGCCTGGAGTTTGACTGGATATGCCATGTCACATGGCATAAGTCTGGGCCTTAAGATGAAATGAACTTTGGGCCTGAAAATAATTAAATGGACTAATTTAACTTGTAAAGCCCAAATTAATTATTTAACCCAATTGAATTTAATCCAAATTTTGTATGGATTAAACCAAATAAATTTTATATGTCTACAGATGCCCCTACTTCAAGATTTGTTGAAGTGTAGGCTTGCTGAAACGAATGACGAGACTTGTAGTACCAACGAACGTTGATATTTTTGTTTTAGCACTTGTGGTGACTTCTACCGGTCAAATCTGAACTTTCATCTAGTTGCACATTTGTGTGAAGTGCTAAACACAAACTCCAAGCAAAAATTAACCTTCCAATATTTCGATCGTCGAACACGTGCGTGCAATGTAATTTGATTTGGAAGTAGCAATTACAAACTATAGTGATGAAAAATTCTTGCAAATTATAGACAACTTTCCATGTTTGTCAAACCTACACATATTTCCTTTTTTACCAAGAGCAAACAAGGAAACATATTTCTAGACCTTGTAAGGAAAAGGTAACGTTTTTTTCTTCTTCTAGGATGCTAACTTTTTGTTTTGTTCGCTTATAACTCACACTTTGTTAGATCCTTTTCCAAACTTGGCATGTATTGTGTAAGATTCATCATTAACTTTGCCATAACTTGCATTGTATCTTAATATAGAAACATCTCGGCCAATTCAATTCACACCTATTTAAGCAGCCATCCTTTGGTGTATGTTTTCACGGTGCAAAATTCTTGGAGAGAAGCTACCTGCCACCTTTGCGCACTCGCAGTGAAGTATTCACATCTCGCCATAGAAGAGTCCAACTCATGGGCGGCCTGACTCTATAGAAAGCACACTTAGGGTGAGGCAACGATTTTAAAAAAAATCAGATCTAAACTCCTTCTGGATCAGCTGGAGTTAAATTTCGAAAATCATGATCTACTCGTCTAGCCTGTAAAGCTGATAGCATCGCACACTCTCGCAAAAGGAATCGTTCTATGGTGTACGAACGTCGAAAGCACAAGCCGCTTGATTCTGCTAAAACAAGACACGGAGGGATGTAACATATCCAAGAACCGGAGCAAAAATCCTTCTGTACCATCTTAGGTAATGTTTTTAATTTTTGTTTCAGGTGCTGCAGCGTTGATCTTTTGGCTTTGCGCGTCTTCACAAGAAACTTCATAACTTTGTGTAGGAATGTCGGAATCACGAGAGGTTTGCGGCTACAGAAACTAGACTTGGAGTACTGTAATATAACAAAAATTTGTATTCAAATTCGCACTGTATTATCCCAGGTGAGCTTTCTAAACTTGGTCCAAGTTCTGTCGCGCTCGGTATTTCATTTTTGCATGCTCTTGCTAAAAAATGCATATCTCAAGATAGGAGCATCCGAACTACGAGCTGTTTACACCGTTGGTAAGAAGACTCGGTGATAGGCAACATCTATAAAAGTCGAAGCTCCAGCCCTTTTGATCCACACGCAACAAATCTTTGATCAATCAAGCGCCGACATCGAGAGGATTGTTAGGGCTGCATACTTCTTTTTCCCTTTTCTTTTGTTGCAGGCTCGGAGATGATATACATGGCGAGTTCTCCCATGCGCATCATGAGAAGAAGTGGATGATCAACACTCCTTTTTTGTAGGTTCATGAAGGGTACGATTCATCGAGAGTTGACGGAGAAGTGCACGTCACAATAGTGACCATCCGCATTGAAGCGTCGTGTCATTGACACCGATTCTTGTTGCTGGGTGAAAGCTTCGTGCCGTTGTCTTTGTTGCTCGTGCGTGGCTGGTGGAACTGCATGTTTCATATACTCAACGACCTAACTCATGGTCGAGGCCAAAGATTAGCGAGGCTCCCAAATTTTAACTTCCCTTTCCATGCCGATTTGGAAAATCCTTGATGTCCATCATATCGAATCGAAGCGTTGTTCTACTGGAATCGTATCAGTAGAAGCAGAAACGTCGTGCTATGGCACTGAGGGCTCCAAAATCTTTTCTTATTTTTGTAGGTTTTCGAGAGAGTATAACAACAACTTGGTACATCCCTTCAGCAACATGGTGCATCTCAGCCTTGCGACTTGGTGAGAAAGAGGCTTGGAGCTCGAGCGACCATATTTCATCCTTGGCGAGCGAGTGCGACATGTACCATATCACATTGTTGCAAGCTGGCGAGGAAGGCCACTGGAGTAGGCTTTTCCAACTTCGGCGAGCAAGCACTTGGTGTGTCTCTGCTGTTTTGACTTCATAGCATTTCATGCTCGCATTGAAAAAATCGTATCTCGACCTGGGAATGTCCAAACTGCAATCCGCTTGGTCCTGCAGAACCAAAACTTGCACCACAGCGACATATCCAAAATTGGGGGCTAGATTCCATCAGGACAAGTCGAAATGAACTTTTGAAGGCGGTGCACAAGTCTGTCATTTCGGCTTCACAGCACTGCATGCTATCATTGGAACGCACACATCTCAAGCTAGGAGCGTCCAAATTGCGAGCCGTCTGCGCCATTGGAAAGAAGACTCATAGATAATGAAATCTTCAAGATATCACAGAATAATTTCTAGCAGATTGCCCACAGAAACTTTCTGAACTTGATCCATCTGTCCACGAAATTGCTTTTCAGCTTTGCGCGCTATGGTGGAAAAATTCATATCTCGAGCTAAAAGTGTCGGAATTACAATCCGTTTGCACCGTTAGAAAGAAAACTAAGAGACCTGAAGGATCTATAAATTTCATGGCAGAACTCCTTTCGGGCTATTAACAGAAAATTTGCGACATTGACTTAACTGCAGTGAACTTTCAGATTTGTGTACCTTCAGCGAAAATAATTGTATCTTGAGCTAGAAGTATCGGAATTACAATCCGTTTGTTCCGTTGGAAAGAAAACTCCTAGATCTGCAACACATAAAAATTCCATTCCGGAACTCTTCTCAGGCTAGAAACAGAAAGATATTAAAAGTCAAACTGACCGCAGGGAACTTTCAAGTTTGCGTGCTTTTGGCCAGAAAAACTGTATCTTGAACTAGGAGCGTCGACATCACCCACAGTTTGATCCTATGAAATTCGGACGTCGAGAACTATAATCTCATCGAAGATGAAGCTCCATTCATTCTTAGTTAGCCTAAATAATATTTTTGAAGTTGATTTTACAGCCTTATAATGGATTCGGCTATCATCACGAATCTTATCCCTTTGTTTATTTCTTTTGCAGACTTGCAAAGAAGTTCAATGAGTCCAGATATCAGTCTGAGATGTCATACAAGATGCGGAGTCACCCCTTCACCAACTGTTGCACTTGATTTGTTGACGGTCTTGAAGTTTATCAATGGCGACTCCCGTGGTGATTGAAGGTTTTTTTCAAGAGAGATGACTTCTTATATACGAGACATTGAGGATAGTGTATAAAAATGTGTAGACGTCATATGGACTTGGAAGATGCATTCAAGACGAGTTGGCCACAAAGCCTAGTTTACGATCATTTTCATGACTTAGGTTTTTGTATAGGAAAACGTCTAACTCCTTTTGTCTCTATATTTTATTGATGTATCAACTTTTGTACTATTGAAGCAATAAAACATCTTTTATACTTCAAAGAAAATTATCTCTTTTCCTCATAGATATGAGCCTCTACACTTGGAAGAATTAATGTAATGATCCGATGATGCCAAACTTTTATTTTTTTTAAGACTCATGCGACTGAACTTAGAATGAAACTCTAAGCTGCCTACGTACCTCGGTAAAGAGGATCAAGTCATAACGTAGTTCAGAGGGATGAACTTTTTTTTTATGTCCTAATTTTTGCCTAGGCCGCCTCTCGCGAGGTTTTCATCCTAGCAGACTTTTTTTTTGGTCTTGACTTTTGCCTAGGCCGCCTCTTTCGAGGTTTTCAACCTAGCAGACTCTTTTTTTTTGGCTATACACAGTTTAGACTCATGCGGGCCAGGACTGTAGCAACGTGCAGTTTAAGCTCATGCATCAAGGAGCGTCATGACTTGCAGTTTAGGCTCGTACGTCGAGGAGCGTCATGACTTGCAGTTTAGGCTCGTACATCGAGGAGCGTCGTGACTTACAGTTTAGGCTCATGCGTCGAGGAGCATCATGACTTGCAGTTTAGGCTCGTACGTCGAGGAGCGTAGGTGACTTTCATGGAAAGTACTGCTTCAGAAATTTTCTGTTGATCGGACCAACTTTGAGACCATCCTTATCGACAATTTTGTATGCGCCACTTGAATAGGCTTCCTTCACAACATATGGCCCATCCCATTTTGAGGTAAACTTGTCGCCTATGCGTTTGTTGAGGATTATAGGTCGTCGAATAGCTAGAACTAAGTTTCCCACTTGGAATGATCGTGGCCGCACTTTCTTGTTGAAAGCTCTAGCTAGCCGAGCTTGATAGCACTCCAATTTTTGTTGCGCTTCCAATCTTTTCTCATCCAATGCCTCTAACTCTGCTAGGCGAAGTTGAGCATTCTCTTCGGACGTGAGCCCTTCTTGGATTGCTATCCACAATGATGGAATTTGTTGCTCCAATGGCAGGACGACTTCTACGCCATATACCAAAGAGTAAGGAGTTGCTTGTGTAGCAGTTCTGAAGGTTGTTCGGTATGCCCACAAAGCTTTACCAATTCTCTCATGCTAGTCTCTCTTGTTCTTTGCAACAACTTTCTTCAAAAGGTTACTAAGCGTCTTGTTAAAAGCTTCAGCAAGGCCGTTGGCAGGTGCATTATACATTGAAGACTTATGTTGCTTGAAACCGAACTTCTCGCATAGACTCTTCACGAGCTTGTTGTCAAATGGAGTTCCATTATCAGTGATTATGTATCTTGGTATGCCATACCTAAAAATTATATATGACTTGATAAAATCGACAACAGTTTCCTTTTTCACCTCCTTGAGTGGAACATCTTCAGCCCATCTAGAAAAGTAGTCTGTAGCGGCTAATATGTACATTTGTCCCTTTGATGACTTTGGAAGCGGTCCAACAACGTCGAGTCCCCATGCATCAAATGGCCATGAAGCTACAGTTGGGTGAAGGGGCTCTGGAGGTTGGTGGATGTAGTTGGCATGAAAACATGCTTGACATCTTTTGGCATGATCCATGCAGTCCTTCACCATTGTCGCCCAGTAGTAGCCCATCCTCTTGATGCGAAAATGGAGCTTGGGACCAGATTCCAGAATGTGCTTCCTCCATCGCTTGGCGGGCTTCTTCTTTGTCAAGACATCGCAAGAATAGTCCTTCAAAAGAGCGTCGAAACAATGTCCCCTTATAGAAGATGAATCGTGGTGCTCTTCGTTTGATGTCTGTTCTTTGTCGCGGATCTTCAGGTAACTTTCCATGTTCAAGGTACTCTATCAGTGGTTGCCTCCAATCTTCTTCTTCAATCACTCGAACAGACGTATGATGGCTTTCGTTGACTTGAAGATCCAGAAGTCTAGGAATAACCCATCGATGACACACATATACCTTTGTTGACTCATTCTCTCCAAGTGCCATCATCGTGGCCAAGTTAGCCAAAGCATCAGCCTTGCAATTTTCTTCTCTTGGGACGTGGTTTAAGAACACTCGGTCAAAGTTTTCAAGTAAACCAGAAGCGTATTCATGGTAGGACAATAGATCTTCCTTCTTTACCTCGTAATTCCCCAAAAGTTGGTTGATGATCAGCTTGGAGTCGCCGTAGATCTCCAACATTAGAATCTTCATTTCTAATGCCATTTCGAGACCGACGATCAGGGCTTGGTACTCTGCAGCATTATTGGAGCATGTTTCACCTAAAACAAAGGAGAATGGCAAGACTTATCTTTCTGGAGAGATCAACACAACACCTGCCCCCGCACAATTACGACGTGCAGATCCATCAAAGAACAATGTCCATGGTGGCAATTCTTCGATAAACAAAACGTCTTCATCTGGAAACTCATCCGAAAGCTCCCATTCTGCCGGAAGAGGGTGATCAGCCAGAAAATTTGCTAGTGCTTGTCCTTTCACAACTTTTTGAGGTGTGTTTGTGATCTCATATTGGTTAAACAATATGGACCATCTTGCTAGGCGTCCAGAAAGAACAGGTCAAGTCATCACAAACTTCACGGGATCTGCTCGAGAGATGAGTTTGATGCTGTATGCTTCAAAATAATGCCTTAGCTTCTTTATTGCATAAAGTAACGCTAAGCATATCTTCTCAACAGGCGTATAGTTCAACTCAACTCCTATCAGAGTTCGACTAAGATAGTACAAGGCTTGTTCCTTTCCTTCCTCATTCTCTTAAGCAAGTAGTGCTCCAAGTGAATGTTCCTGTGCCGCGATGTAGACTATCAATGGCTTCCCAAGCATTGGCGCCCCTAATACAGGTGGGTTCAGCAAGTATGTTTTGATAATTTCAAAAGCATTTTGACATGACTGATCCCAATGAATAGGGATATCCTTTCTCAATAGATGATTGAAGGGTTGACACCGTCCGACTAGATTAGAGATGAACCTCCGGATGAATGCTAAATTTCCTTGGAGACTTCGAAGCTCTCTCAAGTTCTTTGGCCTGGGCATTTTCTGAATGGCGTCGATCTTTGCACGATCAACTTCAATTCCACGATGACGCACAATGAAGCCAAGAAACTTTCCTGAGGTAACTCCAAATGCACACTTGAGTAGATTCATCCTCAGGTCTAATTTTCTTAACCTTTCAAAAACAATTCGAAGGTCTTCAAGGTGATAACGCCTATTCTTCTTCTTCACCACCAAGTCGTCGACGTAGCATTCAACCCTCGTATGAAGCATGTCATCAAATATGTTTTTCATCGCGCGTTGGTAGGTGGCACCGGCATTCTTCAGACCGAAGGGCATCACTTTGTAGCAATATATCCCTTTTGGAGTTCGGAAAGCAGTACACTCCTCATCCTTTGGAGACATCCTGATTTGATTGTATCCGGAGGACCCATCCATGAATGACATAGCTTCATGCCCTGTTGTAGCATCAACCATGAGTTCAATAATTGGTAGTGGGAAGTCATCTTTTGGGCATGCCTTGTTTAGGTCTCGAAAGTCAACACAAACACGTATTTGACCATTCTTCTTCTTGACAGGTACAATATTCGATATCCATGATGGGTACTTCACCTCTCGAATAAATCCCGCATCGATGAGCTTGTTGACTTCGCCTTCAATTTGGGACACAAGCTCGGGTCGAAACATGCGTTGTGACTGCTTCACAGGGCGTGCTCCACTTTTGATCCCTAAATGATGAACAGCTACCTTAGGACTAAGACCGGGCATTTCTTTATACGACCAAGCGAAGACATCTTTGTACTCGGTCAACAACTTGGAGTATTCCTCCTCCTCCTGAGGCGTAAGAAGTGCACTAATGAAGGTGGGGCGTGGATCTTCCAGAGTACCTAAATTGAGTTCCTTAAGCTCATCCACAGTCGATTGTCCGCCATCTTCTAGTTGAGGGGGAGCCTCGTGTACTTCATCATCAATGTCAAGGCATGGGCTATCTTCCACAGTTATGTGATAGGATGTTTCCACAAAGTCTGACTTTTCTCTTTGACTTCCTTGGGTGGTCGGCATGGCTTCTTTCTCTTTTTTTGCTTCTTTATGAGGCTGGCAAGTGTAAACAATGGTTCTCCTTTGCACCTTCAGCGGACCATCTGTGGATATTGACAAAATAGACTTCCTCTTCATACGTGTTGGGAAAGCACTAAAGATTTCCTTGTCAGCGACAACTTCAAAGTGATCCCGCTCCTCATGGACTTGCTCCTTGTGCTTCGATAGTATCTTTCTAGATGGAGACTTCCCTATGGTCCCTAGGCGACGAAAGACAGAGGTCTTTGAGGTAGTGGAAACATCTTTTAGATGTTTGGGAGATACACGTTCACCTTTGTGACTTAGCCTTTCAAACACCGAGACCGGAGGGGTTGAGCCTCCAATGCGATCAAATACTGAAGCCCGTTGTTTTATTTTCTTGCCCTTAACTTCCATCATCTCCTCTACCGAGGAGTATTGTGATGAAGCTATCTCTTTGCTTCTCTTTGATGAAATTCGAAGAGGCTCTGCCAACCTGAACCCCAATCCAAACTTTAGAGTGGCGACGTAGTGCCCTTGCTTAACTTCATTTGGGACTCATTGAGCCCATGTATCTTTTCACCAGTGACTTCGTCTTTGAGTTCTCCTAGTTGTGATGGATTGGAGAAGTCATAACTAGACTTTTCAAGCAGTATGAAGGCCTTAGGATCAAAGTGCCCTTTTATTTTATCAGTTTGAGGATTGCCTTTAGCAGACTCACAAGTCATGGATGGGATTTGTGCAACTGGGACAGTCATATGCTCCTTCAAATGTTGGATATCTTTGTGACTCATTTGCTTCTTTAGAGTACATTCCTGTAGCAAAGGTTGCCCTTTCTTTCGACGCTCACGTTGAACATAGCAAAAAACTAGATGCTCCTCAGTCTTTGTTTGTATGTCACCTTCAGATGATGATAACTTAATGGAGACTTCTTCCATTCCCTTCTTAGGCGGCTTGGTGGTAGTCCATTGAGCCCCATTTTCCTCTTCCGACTTGACATCAACTTTGTCATCTGATGATGGTTTCTCCACTTTCGGTTCACAAGAATCTAGGTAGAATTTTGCATCTGCAAAGTATGACTCCGTCTTAGTGAAAGGCTTGATGTCTGCATCAATTTTGACTATCTCACCATCTCTTCTTTACTTCAGACATTGATGCAAAGTAGATGATACCACCCCATTCTCATGAATCCAAGGACGTCCAAGCAACAAGTTGTATGTTGTTTTAGCATCTATGACATGAATCAGGGTGTTTGAATTCATCTCACCAATGGATAATCCTACGCGGATCATACCTATGGCTTGTTGTCCTCCTTGGTTGAAACCTTGGATTGTTGGTTACTTTTGGATAGCTCATCGATAGAGATCCCAAGCTTTTTTAGAACCATCTTTGGCATCATGTTGACAGCCGAACCATCATCAACAAGTATGCGATTGAGATGTTGTTCCCGAATGGACCCTACAACAAACAAAGGTCTGTTATGTGGCTTAGACCCCAACAACAAGTCATCATCGGTGAATGAAATTGTTGCATAACATGTGACAACTTTTCCATTATCATGATGTTCTTGTGTTTTCATTGGGGCAGGCTCATCGTTGCTTTCCTTTGCTTCGTCAGTAGTAGAAACTACATGAGTTGCACTAACGTGACCTCCATGAAGGAATTTTCTAGGAAAGAATTCATGCAATGTGATGGGCTTTCGGAACTTCGGCGATAAGGCACTATTAATCTTTTTGCTAGTAGAAGATTTGATGTTTCTTGGTGATTGTAGCCTATCTGCATTGCTCATCATCACTCTTCAATTAGGAATTCGTAGCCTCAAAACTGCCTGATGTTTCCGCTTCTTGTGAGTGACTAGAACCCAACCCTCACCGTATTTGTCTTTGGAGTGACTGTCTAGCTCTAGTGAACCTTCAAGAGTTTTCCTTGGAAGATCAACTTCAACGGGCTCGAAACATCCAAATTGTAAGAAGGCAGTGCTTGACATGTTATGCAACTTTGAACACTTCTTTTCCTTGAGCGTGATACTTGCATGATTTGCTTCTGCTGTTTCATCCATGTCTATGATGATTTTTCCTTCACTTACAAGAGCCATAATTTTCTCCTTCAAGACGAAGCATTTCTCTGTAGGGTGGCTAATGATGCGATGAAACTTGCAGTATTTCGGATCGCCAACTTTGCCAATGTCCTCTGGCCTTTTTGATTCAGGGAGATCGATGAATTTCTTGTCAAGCAGTTCATCAAGGATCGTGGGTACGTCTGAATCTGGAAATGGATAAACCTTCTCCTCTAATTCCTTCAAGGTGGGACGACGCTTCTCCTCTTTGGGATATTGACTCGGGGTCTTATCCTCCTTCACTTTTTGCTTAGTAGTGACCTTCACAGAAGTTGCTTTCACCGCCATTGATTCTTTGGTTTGGTTTTTTGATGCAACATTTTTCTTGAACTCCTTTTGATCAGCAAATGGAGATGCCTTTCCATGACTTGCGATGCTTAACTCCATGTCGTGCGCTCGTGTTGCAAGTTCTTCAAAAGTTCGCGGTTTGATCCCTTGTAGGATGTACAAAAGGCCCCAGTGCATTCCTTGAATGCACATTTCCATAGAAGATATTTCTGAAAGGCGATCTTTGCAGTCCAAACTTAACGCCCTCCAACGATTAATGTAATCCACCACGGGCTCGTCCTTCCTTTGCTAGGTGCCTGTCAACTCTATCATGCTTACAGTTCTTCGGGTACTGTGAAAACGATTGAGGAATTCCTTCTCAAGTTGCTCTCAACTATCAATGGACTCGGGCTCCAACTCAATATACCAATCAAATGCGTTCCCTTTTAGAGAACGAACAAATTGTTTTACCAAAAGGTCACCATGTGTTCCAGCATTGCTACAAGTCTCGACAAAGTGGGCAATATGTTGCCTTGGGTTCCCTTTGCCATCAAATTGATGCAGCTTTGGTAGTTGATAATTGGTTGGCATGGTTAAAAAATCAATCCTCTTAGTATAAGGCTTAGAGTAGTACAACGAACATTGCGATGGTCCGCCATATTGAGCTCTGATGGTGTTTGTTATCATGTCTTGCAATTGTTGGACAGATAACGCCGCAACTGAAGTAGATTGCTTTTCCTTTTGGATGTTTAACTTTGCAAATAATTCCTCAACAGCTGTTTTCTGGGAGGTGAAGACAGGTGAACGAGGAGGGTCATGGCTCGACTTTCCAGGTGCATAGGCCTCCAATTTGTTCATGAGTTGAGCGATTTGAAGGTCTTTGTCTTCAACAGATTTCTTCAAGACCTCTATAGTCTGTTCCATCATGGCAAACTTTTCGTCCACGTTAGTTGCATCAGTCATCAAGGCATTGACTTTCGTTGAAACTGAAGAATCCACCAAATCCTCAAATCCGCCAAGGTTTGAGGTTGTTGGAGAAAGTTCGTCAAACATCGAGAATGGGGTGTTGCCCCAGAGATTGCGGTTGCGAACGTCATATGAGATATGCTTTTCTTTGCCATCTCCAAGGAGGCGAAGTATTCGGACCCATCCAAGCCACTAGCCTTGAACTTGCTTCGAGTGATTGGGCCAACATGACTGAGCTGAGCGGATGCGGCAACAGTAGCATCTTTGCATGAAATATCACATTTGTAGAAGGCCATTGTAGCAGTAGATCTGAAGTTTGTAGTTTTCAACTTGCAAGAAGGAGAGATGAAGGGC